CAGATGGGAGGAGACGAAGGAGGCATGACAATTAATGTAATGTGGGATCCTGGAGTGGATCCTGGAACAGAAAAGGGGCATTGGTTGGAAAATTGGTGAAATTCACGCAAGGTCCACAGTTTAGTAAATATATTAAACCACTGTTAATTTGCTGGTTCTGAACATTGTACAATGGTTACATAAGATGTGGAAACTGGAGGAAACTAGGTGAGTGATTTATGGGAACTTTATACTATTTCTGCAACTTTTCTGTAAGACTCAAATTAGTTCAAATACAAAGCTTAAAAAATAATTTTAAAAAAGTTTAATTAGTTAAACTGAAAGCATATGCGTATATTAAGTATGTCCTAGAATAATGTCTCAGTAAAATAAAATATCCAATGCTGCTGTTTTTAATATCAAAGAAGAGACAGGTCAACAAATACCCTCACTGTGTTTATTATAGTATATTAGTTTAAATAAGCATAAGTGTAGTAGTTATATTTAGACTGTATTCTAAAGCTCCAAAACTAAAGGTAGGTTCAGTTGTTCATAGACATAAAAAACTCTATATTTTTTCCCTCTTTGGGGATTTCGGAAAGATTTGGAAATTTTGTTCAAAGTCAACTGTATTTACATACCCAACATAGGAGCACTTAAATATATAAAGCAAATATTAGGAGACATAAAGGGAGAAATTAACAGCAACACAATATTAGTAGGGGACTTTAATATCCCACTCACATCAATGGATTTATCATCCAGACAGAAAAATCAATAAAGAAACATGAGCCTTAAACAATACATTAGAACACATACATTTAACAGCTGTGTACAGAGCATTCCATCCAAAAGCAGCAGAATGCACATTTTTCTCAAGTGCACATGGGACCTTCTCCAGGACAGATCACATAGATCAGGCCATAGAACAAGTCTCAATAAATTTAGGAAGATTGAAATAATCTCAAGCATCGTTCTTGAGACTTTTATTCAACATATCATTGGAAAGCCTAGCCACAACAATTGGACAGAAAAAGAAATAACAAGCTTCCAAATTGGACAGGAAGAAGTAAAATTTATTATTTGTGGATGACATGATTTTATAGATAGAAAACCCTAAAGGATCCATCAAAAAAGTAAAAAACACAAAAAACTGTTAGAACCAAAAAACAAAGTTGCAGGGTACAAAATTAATATTCAAAATTTATACACTAACAATGAACTAGCAGAAAGAGAAACTAGGGAAACAATCCATTCCCAATTGGATCAAACCTAGGAATAAATTTAACCAAGGAAGTAAAAGAGCTGTACACTGAAAATTATAAGAAATCAAAGAAAGAAATTAAAGAGGACACAAATAAATGGAAAGCTATTCCATGCTAATGGCTTAGAAGAATTAATATTGTTTAAATGTCATGTTACCCAAAGCAATCTACAGATTCAATGCAATCCCTATCAAAATCATAATGGCATTTTTCAGAAAAATAGAATAAACAAATCTAAAATTTGTATGCAACCACAAAAGATCCCAAATAGCCAAAACAATCTTGAAAAAGAAGAACAAGGCTGAAGGTATCATGCTTCCTGATTTCAAACTATATTACAAAGCTATAATAATCAAAATAGTATGGCATTTGGCATAAAAACAGACTCTAGATCAGTGGTTCTCAATCTGTGGGTCACGACCCCTTTGGGGGTCGAACGACCCTTTCACAGGGGTCGCATAAGACCATCGGAAAACACATATATAATTACATATTGTTTTTGTGATTAATCACTATGCTTTAATTATGTTCAATTTGTAGCAATGAAAATACATCCTGCATATCAGATATTTACATTACAATTCATAACAGTAGCAAAATTACAGTTATGAAGTAGCAATGAAAATGATTTTATGGTTGGGGGTCACCACAACATGAGGAACTGTATTAAAGGGTCGCAGCATTAGGAAGGTTGAGAACCACTACTTTAGATCAACTAGAGGCCCAGTGCACAAAATTCATGCACTTGTGGAGGAGGGGTCCCTCAGCCCAGCCAGCATCCTCTTGCAGTCCAGGAGCCCCTGATTGATTGCTCTGCCGGCCAGTGGCCTGGACCTCCCTCTGCAGGGCGATCATGGGGTAATGGCGGGACCCCCAACCAATCGCATAGCACCTGCCTTGGCTGGCCTGGTGCTAGTGGATGTCATAACGTGGTCGTCCAGACGGTTGTTCCACTGTTCGTCTGTTCATCGGCCGTTCAGTCAATTTGCATATTACACTTTTATTATTATAGATGGAACAGAATGGAGAGCCCAGAAATAAACCCACACATATATGGTCAATTGTTTTATGACAAAGGAGTCAAGAACATACAATGGGGAAAGGATAGCTTTTTTCAAGAAATGTTGTTGAGAAAACTAGATAGCCACATGGAAAAGAATGAAACTGGTTCATTATCTTATGCTGCACACAAAAATTAACTCAAATGGATTAAAGACTTGAATGCAACTTCTAGAAAAACACACAACGTGAGCTCTTTGACATCAATCTTGATTTTTTTTTGGACCTGACACTAAAGACAAGGGAAACATAAGTAAAACTAAACCAGTGGGACTACATCAAACTAAAAAAAACTTTGCCCAACAAAAGAAATTATTAACAAAGTGAAAAGGCAACCTAAATGGGAGAAAATATTTGCAAATCAAATACCCGATAAGGGATTAATATAAAAAATATACAATAAACAACGCACACAATTCAATAACAAACAAATGCAAAAAAAATAAAACAAGCACACAGGTAGCAAAATCTCAGATATATGCCGAAGGAATTTCTTCACTGACACAGCTCCTCGGGCAATGGAAACTAAATGGAAAATAAACAAATGGGACTACATCAAAATAAAAAGCTTCCGCACAGCAAAAGAAACCATCAACAAAACAACAAGAAAACCCACTGCATGGGAGAACATATTTGCCAATGATATCTCCGATAAAGGTTTAATCTCCAACATTTATAGGGAACTCATACAATTTAACAAAAGGAAGATAAACAACCCAATCAAAAAATGGGCAACGGACCTAATAGACACTTTTTGAAAGTGGACATTCAGAAAGCCAAGAGACATATGAAAACATGCTTAAAGTCACTAATCATCTGAGAGATGCAAATCAAAACAACAATGAGGTACCATCTCACACCTGTCAGAATGGCTATCATCAACAAATCAACAAATGACAAATGCTGGCGAGGATGTGGAGAAAAAGGAACCCTCGTTCACTACTGGTGGGAATGCAGACTGGTGCAGGCACTGTGGAGAACAGTATGGAGTTTCCTCAAAAAACTAAAAATGGAACTTCCATTTGACCCAGTGATCCCACTTCTAGGAATATATCCCAAGAAACCAGAAACACCAATCAGAAAGGATATATGCATCCCTATGTTCATAGCAGCACAATTCACCATAGCTAAGATTTGGAAACAGCCTAAGTGCCCATCAGCAGATGAATGGATTAAAAAACTGTGGCACATCTACACAATGGAATACTATGCTGCTGTAAAAAGGAAGGAACTCCTACCATTTGCAACAGCATGGATGGAGCTGGAGAGCACTTAGCTAAGTGAAATAAGTCAGTCAGAGAAAGATAAATATCACATGCTCTCACTCATTTGTGGATTATAATGAACAATATAAACCGATGAACAAAAACAGAAGTAGAGACAGAGAAGCATCGATCAGATGCTCAAAACTCAGAGGGAAGGCAGGGGAGGGTGGGGGTGAGGGGGAAAGATCAACCAAAGGACTTGTATGCATGCAGATAAGCATAAGTGATGGATGTGGACAACAGGGGGTGAGGGTGAGGACAGTATTGGGGGGACGAGGGGAACATTGGGGAGATAAGGACACATTTGTAATACCTTATTCAATAAAGGGAAAAAAATAAAAATAAATAAAAAAATAAAACAAGCAATCTGATTAAAAAATGGGCAGAGGATCTGAACAGACATTTTTCCAAAGAAGACATACAATTGGCCAACAGGCACATGAAAAGATGCTCAACCTCACTAATCATCATGGAAATGCAAATCAAAACCACAATGCGATAACACCTCCTATCTGTCAGAATGGTCATTATAAAAAAGACAAGAAATAACAATTGTTAATGAGGATGTGGAGAAAATGGGGCCCTCGTGCACTGTTGGTGGGAATGTAAATTGGTGCAGCCACTATGGAAAACAGCACAAAAATTCTTCAAAAAATAAAAAACAGAGCTACCATATAATCTAGCAACTCCACTTCTGGGTATTTATTCGAAAAGATATAAGTGCCCCTATGCTCATAGCAGAACTATTGACGATAGCCAAGATATGGTAACAACCTGTGTCCATTGATGGATAAAGAAGATGCAGGGTGTGTGTAATGGAATACTACTCGGCCATAAAAAAGAACAAAATCTTACTATTTGTAACAATCTGGATGGACCTTGAGGATATTATGCTAAGTGAAATACAAATATTGTATGATTTCACTTACATATGGAATTTTTAAAAGCAAAACAAATGAACAAACAAAACAAAACCGAACTCATAGATACAGAGAACAGACTGGTGGTTGCCAAAGGGAGGAGGGTTGGGGGGTGGGCGAAATGGATGAAGAGGATGGAGGTACGAACTTCTAGTTATAAAACAAGTCATGGGGATGAAATGTCCATCATGGGACTGTCATCAATAACACTGCAATAACGCTGTGTGGTGATAGACGGTAATAGACTTACGTGGTGATTATTTAGCAACGTATACAAATGTGGAATCATCATGTTGTACATCTAAAACTAATGTAACATTCTATGTTAATAAAAAGGGACACCCAGAAAAATAATTTTTTTCTCTCTACCAGAAATACAGAAGAAAAAAAGAAATGTTAGTGAATTATCTGGTTACTGGAGTCCAGCTGATAGAGTTTAAATTTAAAAACAAAACCGAAAACACAAGGTAAGCTCTTCCCAGAAAATCAAAATGCACAGCATATCTCCTTTCATGGTCGTACCGGAAAAGGAAAAAATGACGTGCCCAGGAGAGAGGATCTTAACTTTAAAAACATTGCTTTTTTTCTAGACCCCGTTCCTTCGGATCAGACCCTTTCTGGGAGGTTTTTCTATTTTTCGATTTCTTTTTTATTGTATTTATTGGGGTGACATACAGCGCAGACCACCTCTAGCTGCGGGGAGTTCCCTGTTTAAGCGCACAGGTCCCGCAGGTCCGGGGGCCAAAGCGCGCAGTCCGCCCGGTACCGGCGCGGGCGCGGGGGGCGGGCGAGGGCGTTGCGCACGGTCACCGTCTCCGACTGCAAGTTATGAGCTGTGGTAACCGCACCAGCTTCCTCCACCCGACGGCAACCCCCGCCAGAGAAAGTGTGAAACGCGGCGTCGTGCAAACTTGACCCAGAATCAAGCCCGGGAGTGACGGCGGTGAGTTTCTCCCTGGGGCTCCCCGCGCAGACCGCGCGCCTCCCGCTCGGCTCCCGGAAAAGCAAAACCCGCGGGCGGGAGCGCAAAACCCCGCGGGCGGGACGGACTCGACTGGGCCACGACCGGGTCCGGAGTCAGGCGGCGCCCGGGGGCCATGCACCTACCTGCGCGTCCCCACGGCGCGGCCGTGAGCAGCAGCAGCAGCGGCGGCAGCAGCAGCGCCTGGGCCGCGCGGCCGGGCGCCGGGGCCCTTCTGGCCGCCAGGTTCGCTGGGGTTCGGGAGCCCGACAGAGGCGGCGTGGCCGGGTCACATCTCTGCGGGCGGCCAGCAGCGTCGTCCGTCCCCTCGGGCCGCAGCTGGCGGCCGCGCGGCTTCCCCTCTGCGCCCCGGGCCCGCGGCTCCGGCTGCGCCGGCGCTCCTGGAGGCCCAGCGCCCAGGGAGGCGGTGCCAGGTCCGCGCCCCACCCGCGTCCCGCCGCAGCCCCGAGCGGGATGCCAGGGAGAGGGCAGGGTCCAGGCGGTTCCTGGTCCCCAGCCACTCATTGTTAAAGTTCTGAGCGTGTGAGACTTTATCTTCCCAGCCAGGGAGGCCAGGTAACACCTCACTCCAGCAAACTGGAGGCCCGCACCGTGAAAAGTGATTCTGGGATGCCTCATGGTCACCTCCCTAAAACTTTTGAAATGTCAAAGATGGGTGCTGGAAGAAGAGTGAAATGGATTATTTATACTGTCGGCACTCCGCCATGCATTGTATTTTATTTCATTTAATCCTCGCCACTGCAATTAGGTATTGTCCCATTTTACAGATGAGGAGAGGGAGGCTCAGAAAGTGAGGTGTCAGCCTGGATGAAGTCTCCCAAGTTCGTGAGCAGTGGCGTGGGGACTTCCAAACAGGCCTGATTCTAGGTCCCATGGTCTTTATAATGGGAGGGCAAGGGCAGGGGTTGCAATTAAGAAACGTGTTGAAATAGCATGAGCAAAACCTGAGAGCAGGCTCGGCTCCAGTCTCTGAAAGGAGTTGTAAAGATTGGCCACATCCTGAAAGGAGAATAAACGATTTACTTCAGATGTGTTACATCTCTTTCCCTCACAAATACCTGTTTTCAGATGTACAAATAAAGAGAAATGAGCCTAAAATTCGATCAACTACTTTTATCTTAGAAAAAAAAGAATCTTCAGTAATTGAAAAAAGATTTTATTTTTTTGGTGGGAGGGAGTGAGAGGTTGGTCGAGATTTTCAGAGTCCCCTAAATATGCTACCGCCCCCTTCCCAGAAAGAATTGGAAACAGGATGAATCCAGGTCAGGTTGTCCCTTTGGCCAGGACTTGGCTTTGTGATGCAGAACCTAAGACTGCAAACTACATTTGTCAGCGGGCCCTTTAGGTTCAGCCAGTAGGGGGCGCTGAAAGGGAGAGGAGGAGCTCAGAGACTTATAGCTTCCTATTTGCTGTTCTTGTCAGCAATATCCCACAGGGTCTGTATCCTGGCGGGAGCAGCTGCCAGTTTCCCGTTTCTTCCTGTGTAGCCAACATCAGCCTTGTTGCACTGCCTCAGAGATACCAGCGATGGCTGGCCGGGCCCCATTCCCAGAGGTCTGAGTTCCAGTTTCCTGGCCTCCTCTTCCAGGATGTAACCCCCTCGTCTTCCCTTTGTTCCTTCAGCCCTAGAACTGCTTTCTGTAGTTACTCTGTGTCTCAGTTTCAGAATCCCCTTTTTACTTTTTTTTTTTTTAGTTCTCCAACACCTGTTTAACCAATTCCTCATGGCAAATTCTTTTGTTAAAGTAAATTTGTCTGTTTTCCTGGGTGGACTCTTACTGGTTCACTAAGACTTTAGGAAGGATTGAACATCTTAGGAAAGACTCTAGGGGTTATTAGTACATCATCAGCATTGAAAGGGTTAGCTAGGTAGTTTAGGCAGGTTTAGAACGTTTTAGGAATGAAAGGTGTCTATGGAAGAGGAATACATATAGAGACTGGAAGATGCCAGGGTGTTTATCTGACTTGCGCGGAGGATAGAGAAATGGCATAGGCAAATAGAAATAGACCTGGCCCGTGCTATTAAGACAGCCATAAACCAAGGGGATCTTGGGCCTGAGACCATAAATTAGGCCAAAAGTAGCCCTGACCTGAGAAACTGGGAGGGCCATAAGATAAGGTTTTCTCTGCCAACACAACTGGGAGAGCTATAAGATAAATCAAAAGTGACTCCAACAAGATAAGGGGGAGAGAAGGTGTGGACACCACATGGGCTTTGAGCTTTAAAACGAATTCTGTCTAGCAGAATGACCAATAAGAAGAGGTCAGGTTTAGACAAAGAAGTGCAGCCTATTTAATGGCTCAAGACAAAGAAAGCAGCGGTCACCCTTCTCAGGGGCCCCTCTGTCTGTCCAGGAGGGACAGAGTCTTAGGTTTAGAATTAGGTTTTAGAGGTAGTGTCTGCTTGCAGTGTTTCTGTACTTTTCACCTATCACCTTTCGTCCGTGGCTTCATTCTTCGAAACCATCGAGACAAAAACCCGGGAATTCAGGTTGTTCCAGTTCAGTTTTCACGTTTCAGCATTCTCTTGAGTTTCTGTTCTTACTAACTGTAAATTACATTAGTTTAGCTCCATCATTATCATTTTAAGTCTAGAGGATTAAATATGATTCATATTTGCCACAAATATATTTTGGGCCAATTATTATTTGGTATCTAAGCTTTAGGACCTGTATGCATTTCTGTTCAAACATGAATAGTTCATGGCCCTAAAGGGGTTAAAGCAGACATATGCATGGCTCTTCATCCCTTCTCCCTGACCCTTCTTAACTTGAGTAGTAACAGTTCGTTGTTCCCTCCCACTGGGAAGTGGAAGTGGGTAGGGTAGCTGGGACTTGGAGTTCTTTCCCCATAAGTGGGCTACCCCTTGCTTCCGAGCCAGTAGTCTTCTGTGTGTTCCTCCTTCCCTCTGTCCCTTGGTCCTCAGGTTCCCCTTTCACTTGGCAGACAGCAGTCAGAATTTCACGGGTCTCATTCTTGTTAAACTCACCACTCTGCACTCAGCATGCCTGTGGTTTTCGTAAGCTGGGTGTGGCTTGAGCAACTGCTAGGTGTTCAGTTGGTGTTTTCCATGCATTCAATTAAAGAATGCAGTTGTGACTTTTCTTTTGTCTTTACCTGTGACCCAGAACTCACCTCAGGGACTTTCCTTTGTCCCTTTAAATTCTTACCCACCCTGTGAACTTCCTAGTATAAATCCTGCTATACCCTTCAGAGGATTCTTGAAATGACTCAGCACATTTGAATGGATATTTTCTTCTACTCATAAAGATTATAATCCTTCAGCATGAGTTACCATGCTGAGATCTTAGTTTTTGGAGCCCAATATATAGATTTTAGGGCTCTCTGATCAGAAAGGCCATTCTTCAATACCTCCCACCCCCAATCACAACACTAATACCACAAACAAAAAATACAAACTTTTCCTATTCTAGTTTAACTCTAAATGGTTTCCAGGAATAATATTAATAATGCAAAATTATCCTCTTTTCTTCCTCCTCCTTCTCCTCCATCATCATCATCATCTGAAGTTACTGATTTCCTACTTTGAGCCAGGTATTTCACATTTACTGCCTTCTCAGATCCTTAAAACAGTTCTGTGAATTACATGTTACCCCGAGTTACAGAATGAGGAAACATGCTTGGACAGGTCATTCACTTAATAAGTAACAGAACTGGAACTGAATCCTGGTTAATCTAATTCCAAAGTCTGTGTTTTTAATGGCTTCCTTATATGCTTTTTGCACTTAAGAGAATAAAGCAGATGCTTTTGAGGGGTGAACTGTGAAATAGCACACATGTTGAGATGTATATACTGTATTTATTAATCTAAGAAAATGCAGCATTGGTATGATTTCCATATCGTAAACTCCGTTGTGAATGGTAACAGATACTCATTTCTGGGCACTCAGATATTGCAAGGACAGGTTCAGAATGTGCTAAGGTGACTGCTCCAAAAGTAAACCTGAAAGTTAGCGGGCAGGTGGCAGTTAGAGGGAAAGAGTTGGCAAGGTACAGTTCTCTGAAAAGAATTGGGCGTCGGGACAAATTTGAGAAATTTTGGGAGATAATAAGCATCCAGTACTGAGACTTCTTCAATCCTTTTAGTCTGCTCTGCCCTCCCCTGTGGATATTTGAGGCCACAAGCAATTTTTTATATTATGTTGTCTGCTTACGTCCAAATAATATCTAACATTTAAAATCCTATGGAATGCTATCTCAGCATATGTTTCTCAACTTTTTTCCATTTTTTGAGAAGTGGTTCATGCATTTTAAAAGATTTCGTAATTGTGAAGTATAATACACAGAGAGAAAAATGCACAAAGATAGATGTTATAGCTCAATGAGTTATCCCAAAGTGAAAGAAAGCATTGATAAGCATCACTCAAGTTAAGAAAGAACAGTGCTAACCCTCCAGAGGCCCCTTTCCGACCCCTTCATGTCTTTGCCAAATTAGTGTGCATTCCCTTGTATCTGGTTTCTCTCACTCAACGTTATGCTATGAGAGTCATCTATGGTGTTGCTTATAGATGTGTGCAGTGTACTGCTGTGAAGTATGACTATGCCACAATTTATTTATTAATTCCCTCTTGGATGACTTTAGATTGTTTCTGGTTTGGAGCTAATAACAATAGTGCTGTTTTGAAATGCTCATTGTGTCTCTTGCATAAGTGCACAAGTTTCTGCCAGATACATACCAGAAGTCTTATTGCTGGATCATAGGAGAGACATAATTTTACCTTAATAATGCCAAACCTGTTTGCCAAAGTAGTAGTAACAACATACCTGCTCATCAGCTATAATGAGTGTTTGTCTTCCACATTCTTGCCAACACTTGATATTTTCCAGCTTCATGATTTTAACCATTTTAGAGGGTATGTAGTGGTATCTCATTGTAATTTTCATTTTTCTGATGATTAATGACATTTAGAACTTTTTTGTAATTTTATTATTCATTTGTGTTGTGATCTGATCAAGTTTCTTGCCTATTTTTTTCTGTTAGATTGTCTTTTTATTTTTAATTTGTTTGAAGGAATTTGTTACACATGCTGCATATGAGGCTTTTGGCAGTTACATATGTTGCAGATATTTTTCCTCTGGTTATGGCTTGCTTTTCTACTCACTAGAGCAATAAACAAAGTTCTTAAGTGTAATTACTCTAACTTAACAATTACTTCTTTTATGATCATTATATCTATTGTCCCATTAAAAAAAATCTTATCTCAACCTCAAGTTATGAAGATATTCTTCTAAGTTATCTCCTGAAAGTTTTACTGTTTTATTTTTCACATTTCAAATTAGGATGTGCCTAGAATTTATTTTTATATATAATATGAAGTAGGGGTTTAAAACTTAAACCTCATTGACCTGCACTTCTTCCTGAAAAACCTTCCTTTCTCTGAAGCTCTTTAGTTC